AGCCATTTGTCTGTCCAAATGCTGACAATCCTGTCTCTTTGTAGGCAATTGAGGGCACCTACATCGACAAGAAGTGTCCCTTCACTGGTAATGTCTCTATCCGTGGCCGAATCCTGTCAGGTGAGTTGTGAGGGTTTGTTAAGAAGTAACACTATAGATGTAATCCCACAGTGCCCTGAAGTGGGCAAGCAGTCAAAGCCCTCGAGCTGTGAGTGTCGATCTGGAGCTGCCTAGAAACTCTGCTGTGGTCCTTGAGCTGCACATGATGCCATTCTCTCACGATGGTCTTCCAAGTCTCATGGTGAAGGGGCTTTGACGACAATGCCGCATGGCTTTGCTGATGCCCAGTGAAAGGACCAGCTGCTGGCAGTTACCCTTTCAGATGTGCTGTTCTGTGGTGCAGATGTTGATGTAATGCAGTAGCAGATAATGCAGGGAGGGTTGGTTCTAGGAAGCATGTCACAGTATGCTTAGAAGACCTTAAAAAACACAAGGAGCAATAATTTGTTTTATAGTACAAATCCGAAGGTTGTAGCCTGGCAGTAAGGTGGAAAGAAAGCCCTTTCATCCTGGTACAACACCAGAGCACCCCCCAAAAGATGTGTTATAGTTTATTATTAAATAAAGAGAATTTACTGGATTTGATGGGTGCTGCCTTCGGGTGTCAAATGCCAGTCATCCCTGCTGATCCTCTCGGATAGCTCTTCTAAAAATCTGTGTTCTCTGTTAGTTATAACCCAAACCTCCAGCTCGGTTTGCCAATGATCAGTGTGTGCTTGCTTATGCTCATCGCTGCCACCTTCCCCCTGCTTCTGTCACCCAGGTGTGGTTACCAAAATGAAGATGCAGCGCACCATTGTCATCCGTCGAGACTACCTGCATTACATCCGCAAATACAACCGCTTCGAAAAGCGCCACAAGAACATGTCAGTGCATCTCTCCCCCTGCTTCAGGTGTGTGCAAGTCCCCACAGTGATGGGGGGGGAATGTTACCCCGTGGAGAGGAGGTGTATGGGAGTGCCAGACGTGCTCTGAGTGTCCTGTACACGTGTTTATATATTGTTTATAATGCTGAACTCAGCTTTTGTGTAGAAACGGCAGCAAGCATGCATGTCAGTGTGACACATGTGGTTTTATTGCTGCTGCTGACCTGGAACCTGCTTACTGGTGGTGATGTCTAAACTCACGATGGTCTTCAGAGTCCCTGCTGGTGAGGGGGGCTGCTGACAATGCCGGTGGCAATTGC